GAGAGAGAGAGAGAGAGAGAGAGAGAGAGAGAGAGAGAGAGAGGTATTAAGCTGGTGTCATTTAGACTCTGGAAAACTCAGACCGGTCTTGGACCCTTGGTGGATGGGGCTAGGAACAGTGGGGTGTGGCAGGGGTGCCTTGAACCAACATTCAGATTCTGGCAATGTATACGGATCCCTGACCACTGAGTAGCTGCCTTAGCACACAGGGGCCTGTCTGGGAGAGTAGGGTGTTGGATGGCCCGGCCACTGCGGTATGAAGGAAGGAGCCTAGTCTCCAGGGGAACCTCGTGCCCCTCTCACTTCTTCCAAATCTTCCACTTAATTAGGGAACCATGAAAAACTCGATGGAGGATCCAGCGTCAAGGAGGCCCTTACAGCCTGGTATGTGTAGATACATGCCAGAAGACAGGAGCAACAACTAAGGGGAAATCCTGGGGACAAGGTAGGTAGGTGTGAGAAGGCCTGTCCTCCCTAGTGTAGTTTTATGGAGCAGACCAGGTCTGTTTCCAGCCACAGGAGGGCAGCCCCTCCTAACATGTGCAGGCTGGAGGTGACCCGCTGGTTTTCTGGTACAAGTACCATGTTCTCTACTATGTAAATGCAGCCTGAAGCCGCTGACCTCCTTGGCCCAGAGTCCTGGGGACCTCAGAGCGGCCAGGGAGAGCCTGGGGAAACCAAATGAATTTCTCACCAGCCAGCACCCATCAGAGGGTATGGTCCTAAAGCTAGCAAGCGAGAGCAGGCAAACTGGGCGTGGTGTGGCTTAATCTAGAAGGTAGGCTCCAACAGTGTGGGGAACAGACGGGATCTGGGGACCACAGCCGATTTTGATGTTGCTGTGGGGACACAGAAGATGGGAGAGAAGGCCGCACCCTGCAGGGGTAACCCTCGCTTCCTCTGGTGGGAGTAGGGTAAGCTCTGGTGCCGCGTGGGCAATGGGTTACCTTGCTCCGGGCGCCGGGCACACTGAGCGCCAGCTCGTGCAGCAGCTCCCGAGGAGGCTCCTTGAGGTACCACCACTGAATCTCCAGTGAATACGAGGTGGCTCCGCTGGCCCGGAACGCGCAGGGCATTTCGATGTCATCCCCTTCCCTCACGGTTACATCTTTGGGGACTTCAGTGAATGTAGCTGGGGGCGTGGGAGAGAGAGAGAGGCGTGACCAGCTGAAGGGCTGAAGGGCGGGGGCTTGGGACAACCCGAAGCTGAGGTGGCCGGTCCCAAGCTCTCCAGCTGGCCTTGCCCCCCCTCCCCCACACACACCCCGCAAGCTGCTCAGCCGCCCACGGCCCAAGCCGCTAGCAAAGTTCAGGGCGCAGCAGCTGCAGGATGGCAGCCGGGACCTGCCACTGGCTGCAGGTCGCCTCCCTCCCGGTGGCGCGGGATTCAGGGGCAGGTGGGCCGAAGCACCCGTGCCAGGCTGGGGTGCACCAACTCTCACTACCCGCAGGCCTCCTCTGCGATGTGGGAGCCCGGCGGAACGATTCCCTCTCCAATGCCACCGCTGCAGAGACCCTGGTCTGCTGTTGCGCCTCTACCCCTTCCGAGCCTGAGCTGCACACCCGGATCGCCAGAGACCGCGAAGCCCCAAGGCTTCTCTTCCCCCATCCGCGGTGGCGGCCAGGTTGGCTGACTTGCGTGGCCTCAGCGAAGCATCCCCCGAGCCCACCGCGGCCACGAAGTTCCCGCGCTCACCGTCGGCGACTAGGAGCAGCAGGGCGTGCAGCAGCAGCGGCGGCAGGTATCCGAGGGCACAGAGCCGGCTCCGCTGTTCCATCTCCCGCAGGGGGGCGGCGGCGGGGCCCTGGCGCGGAGAGGCTGCGGCGGCTGCAGCGTGGGTTCGGCTCCGGCTTCGGATCGGGCTAGGACGCTTCCGAGCCTGCCATGGCCCCGCACGGCGCCCTCTCCTCCGGCCGCCGGCGGCCGCCAATCAAGCCGGCTGCCCGGCCAGCTGGCCCGGAGCGCAGAAGGCGCGGTCCCGCCTCGGAGGCTACGGGCGACCAGGCGGTGTGTCCCTCTGTCCGGTGGTCCGCAGGATGTTCGGGATCTGCAGTTCAGTCTCTGCCCGGCGGGCCGGGCAGCGGCCGGGCTGCACCAAGACCCATCCTTGGCGGAGGTGCTGTGCGCCTTGGAGTTCCGAGCCTCTGCCTCCGGTCTCCTGGTTCGGCTCCTGACTGCCACCTCCTCCGGCTCCAGCCGCCGCCCCCGCCGCTTTCTTCGTGGCTCTCTCCCCAAGGCGAGTGGGCGCTCAGCCGCGGCGCGTAGATCTGGCGTCCGACCCAGTGCAGCGCGGGGAGAGCGGGTCCGTCTTGCGATCCCGCAGCCCGAGAGAGGCGGGGAGAGGGGGGGGGAGAGAGAAGGGGGAGGGGAGGGGAAGGGAGGGGGCGGTCAGTTGCTGGGCGCCTAGCCGCCTCCTCCGCGGCATCACCCCCGCCCCCCCC